CCAGCCCTCACAGGTTCTGATGAATCACTTTCAATTGAAATCTGTCATTTCTTAAACATTGACTCCAGAAAGATTAACTAAGTGAACCTCCCTTTCTGCAGGAGTAAGTGTGCACAGCTGCACATGCCCCAGCTTGTGAATCCAGAGCTCAGTGTGTGGTCCATCACTGGACTGATGAGCAGGCTTGACTGTTTACAAGGTGAGGTTCAGCCCATCGGTGGGATCACCGCACAGTATCTTCAGTAATGGTTTCTATGGGCAATCTTTCCCTCTTTAATAATCTTTTATTTAGGAGAAGAGAGCAGACTATGAATAGGCATTTATAGTCATAGTTGTACTATCAAAATATGGACAAAACTAAATGAGAGATGTGTTTCAGTCCTGTAATAAATTACTTAGGAAAAGGAAACACATTGAAAAAGGGCTCCTCGAGTCATAGAGCTATTCTCTGACACAATGTCAATTGTTCAATGAGTCATAGAGAATACAATGTCAACTGTTCAATGAGTCATAGTGAAGTTAGTATTAATTCAGCACATTCCAGTTTCAAGTCAGTGCAGTTAATTGTGGCAGGGTTAGTAGTGTTTTATTTTTAAATATTTTTCAGTTCAAGTTTCATAGTAATTGCATTTGTAACAATGTGCATTTTAATTGATGTAATTAGAAAAATACACAGGTAATTTTATATATGTAAATGCAGAAACCAAGAATTTACAAACAACAATAAAACAATTTGGTGGTTGATGAAGCCTTTATATAGAACTATATTATAGACCACAATTAGTCTAGTAGGGAAAAATGGTCGATGAAGCCTTTATTTATTTATTTATTATTTTTTTTAAAGATGACCGGTAAGGGGATCTTAACCCTCGACTTGGTGTTGTCAGCACCACGCTCAGCCAGTGAGCGAACCGGCCATCCCTATATGGGATCCGAACCCGTGGCCTTGGTGTTATCAGCACCGCACTCTACCGACTGAGCCACAGGGCGGCCCTTGATGAAGCCTTTATATAGAACTACATTATAGACCACAATTAGTCTAGCAGGGAAAATAACAGGCCTGACGAGAAACCAGGCATAAAAGCCATTAAATTCTTAGTAGGAA